CTGCCTCAGCCTACTGAGTAGCTGGGACTACAGGTGTGTGCCACCACGCCCGGCTAATTTTTTGTAGTTTAGTAGAGACGGGGTTTTGCCATGTTGGCTGGGATAGTCTCCATCTCCTGACCTTGTGATCTGCCTGCCCTGGCCTCACAGTGTTGGGATTGCAGGTGTCAGCCATGCCCAACCTGGATACAGTTTTTATGTAGATCCAATGGGACTTGTTGGTGGAACTGCACGTGAGCTGTGAGAGGAAGGAAAGACTCTTATTTTCTGAATGAGACTGGGAGCTCCTTGAGGACAAAACTCACCTGTTTTATTTCTTTATGATCTTCATAGAAACCTGAGAAGGCTTCATAGACAATAAATACATGACTAAGTTTTTGTTAAATGAAAAAGGGAAGGAAAAAGCAAGTCTGTATCAATAGACTTGGAATTCCTGTACTCATAATGATTTGTAAAAATAGACACTATTTCCTGAATTTCAAAAAAAAATGTTAAAAATTGCTATTTTTCTCAAGGTTAAAAAAAGAACTGAAGCTAAAAAAAAACTTTAAATGTCTTTATTTGGGCTGCAATTCATTACCTTGATGATGTAACAGGTTTTTTATCTGCTGTTTTGAAGTTCTGTATTATTACCATTTAATTTGTTTGACAAAAATATTCATAAAATACAGGCTTAAAAGAAAAATAGTAAAATGCTGTGGATATAATGATTGGGAATCACATATGCACATGGTTTTTGAAGAAAGAAACAAAACAAAACAAACAAAAAAAACCACTCCACAATATCCATACTTTCTTTTTTTTCTTGTTTACAACATAAAGATCCGCATTATCTAGAAAGCAAGCACAAAAGAGAACACATTAAATTTTATGATGGATTTTTTGAAGATGGTCTAGTCTAATTCACTGTTTATATTTGAAAAACATCAGTCATCAAAACATTAAGGTGATAGACATAATTTTGTTTCCAATACGCAGTAACACAAATTCTGAGTTGTCTAATGAGGCTTAACAAATAACAGTGGAAAATTGTGAAATACGCTATTTCTTGAATCTTCCTTCTTGATATTTGCTTGGCAACAGTAATTAGCCACAAACAATCTTGAGTCATAACTGCCCAGAGAGCACAGTGAGAGGTAGGTGTGTGGAGGGATGGAAGATGAGGGAGAGAACAGAATAAGAGGCACCTTGATGGGGGAACGCTAGCTTTTTTTAAACTCATACTGTTGCTAGGAGGCATTTGTGCATAATTTTTCACAGGGCTTTACAGTCACACACACAGGCATATTTGAGTCAAGGCTTTGATATTAGAAGGTATGTGACCATGGCCAGGTTTCCTAACTAGGACAGTGGTATCTTTACATACCTTATAGGGTAAATTTTGTCAGCTATGGTAAGATTATTTTTAATATGGTTAGAGATAGCAGAAATTCAATACATGATATTTTTATGTCTAGTAATTTTCCCAGTGGGTTTCAGCATTTCCTGCCTTTGCATTGGAATAGAAACTCCTTCACCCTTCATATAGTAGATATTCTGCTTGTCCTTGAAGAGCCAGATTTGAATGTCAATCTCTCCTTCAGTAGCTCATATACTGTCATTCAGTTTTTCACTTACATGTAGCTGTTTGTTTCAAGATCTTCTCTACCTAAGTTGGATTTCTCCTGGAATAGTGAAAAGAACCCAGAAGACTTGGATTTGAGCTCTGCCAGCCACTCTTTCAGAAAAGTGGAACCATTCTGAACATAATGGAATAAGGGATGTATTGTAAGAACTTACACCATTGTTGAGAAAGTTATTTTCCAGAAGAAGGAATTCACAGATCTGAGAAAAGTCACTATGGGATTCCCTGAGGTCCTTGTGTGGATGGGTAAATCAGAGCTTTCAGGGGAATCTGGAAGGCCCACTGCATCCAGGAGGGGCACACTGAGAGAAAGCTAAAAGAATACTCAGTGAAAAGCTTTTATCTGCCTGGCTGCTGCCTCTTTGGATCCATGTTAAGGCCCTTGTGATGAGTGTGTGGCTACTGTTGATCAGCTGTGCTGGAAATTGGGAAGATTGGGTGTGAAGCTGGGGAGAGCCAGGATATGGCAGAACCTTCCAGGTCTCTGCATGTATTATCACAGCAAATACAGAGATCTTGAGAGAGGAATAGAGACTCTTTCACTCTGTTTACCAAATCTTGCACAAATTCCTCTCTGGGACGACGGTACTCACATGCATACAGGCAAGAGGATCCTGAGAAACTTTGTTCCAGCTAATGAAGTTGGTAGAGTACAAACCACCAATGCCACTCCTTGGCTATGTTGGTTGTACTAGGAAGTTAACCCAACCTTTCTGATCCTCTCCTTCCCTATTGTGTTGATGTAAAGGAGGTAACTATTATTCCTACCTCTATAGGATCATTAGTAAGAATTAAATAAGGTAATGTAAAAATCCATTACAAAATACATGGCTGGATGCGGTGGCTCATGCCTGTAATCCCAGCACTTTGGGAGGCCAAGGTGGGTGGATCACCTGAGGTCAGGAATTCAAGAGGTCAGCCTGGCCAAAATGGTGAGACCCTGTCTCTACTAAAAGTACAAAAATTGGCCAGGCATGGTGGCACACACCTGTAATCCCAGCTACTCAGGAGGCTGAGGCAGGAGAATCACTTAAATCTGGAGGTGGAGGTTGCAGTGAGCCAAGATCACACCAGCCTGGGTCACAGGGCAAGACTCTATCTCAAAAAACAAACAAACAAACAACTAAACAATTAAAAATAACAAAAGAATGCATCATACTACTCTTACTAGATACATCCATTCATGTCATTAATGTAGGTTTATTGTGCGTCTACTATGCCCTGGCAACTATACTATGCCTAGGATACAAGGCAGTGGCAATATCTTTGTTAACTGAAAGCTGAATCAGACATAAATAAGATATTCAAGTGGAGATGTAAAGTGAGCACTTGACAGACTGGATTTTAGAGGATAGATCCAGGTTAAAAATATACATTTGGAAGTTATTAGTGTGAAGTAATGAAACACTGAAATGTATGAGCCTGAATCAGGTCACTTTAGGTAATGTGCATGTAAATTGAGAGAAGAGGCTCGATGAGATATCTGAGACATTTCAGAATTTGGGGGTCAAAAAGATAAGAACAAGCAATAAGGGTGAGTAAAAGCAGCCAGCAATATAGAAAGAGAAATAATAGAGAGTGGTGTCCAGGGTTATTTATGCCGAAAAGTCAATTTTTATGACAGCTGAGAATTGACCATCAGCTTAGCACCATGGAAGTTATTTAACAAAATGGAACAGGTTCAAGATGGAATGGAAAGAAAGATTTTGGCATAAAGGGAAGCAGGAAAGTAAGGTGGCAATAAGTGGAAAGTGTGTCAAGAGATATATATATATGTGTTTGTGTGTGTGTAATTGGCTCTATTCTGTTAGTTTGCTGTTGAGAATGATCCATCAGTGCTGTGCTTGGGTACAGATTTCTATGAGCGTGGAAACTTTACCCAGAGATGCAAAGAAGGAGAAAGCCTGCTTCCTTCAGGTGGTTCTCTCTTAAGAGGAAAATGGTCAAACTGAGTGAGCATGCCCAGTAGTATTTGCAAATTTATTAATTCAAGTCACTCAAGTCACATCTTCTCAGGAGTAGACTGAGCAAAAAGGAAGAGAGGGGCTAAAAGGAGGAGAAGTAGATTTCGGGGAGAACAAGAATGTTAAATAAATATTTAGAGACGCCGAAAACAGAATTTTGCTGAAGAAGATTCTAAGTTCCAGAGGATACAGTGGAAAGATGTGGGGAGTTTACACATCTTTGTATACAGTGGGAGACAGGTCAAACCAGAGTGTGTGTAGTTTGGGACAGTATTTCTCCTGCAGTACTTGGAACAGGAGATTAGAGAAATATTTGCTCCTTGAGTGAAACCTGACAAGACCTGCTTGGGGCTGGGGAAATACACTGGTCCACACGGCCCCGTTTCAGTAGCAGTGCTGATCTGCCTAGACTAGGGGGTCAGGAAGGGCTGATCTTGATTATACTTTCCCTCTGTCCCTCCCCCTCCTCCACACCTAGCCCAGCAGAGGAAGGAAAACTAGATTTATAGCTGCCCAGCTCTTCCCCTGGAAGCCAGAGACACAGGTTGCTTGCTTTACTACCACCAACGCAAAAGTGATGTGTCTTCTTCATGTCGTTTGAATCCTTGCAGAAGAATGTGTGGCAGCAATATGAAGGAGGATCAGCCCCTCAGACCCTCTTTGAAAACTGCTAGTGGACAAGGGCAGTGAGGAAGAGGAAAGTTCCTCTGAGCATCTTGTGTTAAAGGGAGAAGCCAGGCCTTGGGGATGTTCCTTCATTTTCACAAGTGGCAAGGTTTTCACCCCTTTTCACCCCCGGCTGGCAGCTTTCAAATTGGTTCCCATTTCTCCAACTTAGGAAGAAGCTGTGAAAGCCGCAGGCAAGCAGGGATGAATGATTCATTTGGTCCTAGCCATTTCCTTCACTACTGGGATGTCTCGGTATCTCTCCACTCTGTTATTTGAGCATAATAATAATAATAATAACAATAATAATAAATTATCTGCTTCTCTAGGACTTTCAGCGGAGTCGTTAGGCACGTGATGAAACCTCGGGTTTCACGGGGCTCCATCCACCCATCCAGCCATCCATCCGTCCATCCGTTCACTCGATCACCCACCCGCCCACCACCCACCCTTCCATCGCGAAGCCTTCCTCCCTTTCCGGCTTACACTGGGCGTTAAACTCCGGTCTCTCCAGGCCTCCGGCGCACGTACACACGCGCGGGCGGGCGGGGTGTGCGGAAGCGCGGGCCGCGCCGGGGGCAGGACTGCAGCCTCCCGCGGGGCGCGAGGGCGGGGAGGCCGGGGAGGCCCGGGCGGCGTGGCGGCGGCCGAGCCGAGCCCATCCGAGCCGGCACCTTCGGACGCCCCTGTCCCACGTGACCGTCCCTCCTCCCTCCTCCCAGTCGCGCGCACGGGCCGGGCGTCTCGACTCCCGCGCGCGCTCGGCGGGTCCCAGTCCCCGAGAGAAGAAGCGGAGGAGGGAGCGAGCCGGCGAGGCGGCCCAGGGGAGCGGGCGCGAGTGGCGGCTGCCGGGGCCGCGTGTGCACGGGCAGCGGCGAGGCCAGGCGAGGCGACGGTGGCGGTCGCCCGAGCGGCGGGAGCCGGGGCGGCGCGGAATCCGCATCCGCCGCGAGTGTGATGAAGCTGCCCTGTCTCGCTGCTCCGCTCGCCGCCAGCTGACACCGCCCGCACCCAGCCCGCCCGGGAGGGGAGACGCCGCGAGGCCGTGACCTTGGCGGAGGAGGTAAATAGGGGAGGCGGGCGGAGAGGAGGCAGCGCCCCCCAGAGCCCTCCCGGCCCCCGGCCCGCACCCAGCCCTCGCTCTGCGCAGCGGGAGCGTCCGCGGGCGCAGGGCGGCCGCCCCCGGGACCCCCGCGCCGGGGCAGGGCTCACGGGCGCCACGGGCGCCGCGCGCACCCCGCGGTCCGCGGTGCTGAAACTGCCGCCCGGCTCCGGCGGCCGCCGCGGCGCGGGGCACAGGCGCGCCTGCCATTTGCTGCTGCCGGGAGAGGGAGCCGGGGGAGCTGGGGCTTGCTTGTCTTCTCTGCGCTTCGGCTGGTGGCTCTGGAGGCTTCTGCACTTAGGCATTTACCCACGGTGCCCCAGGTAATTGCCTGCAGGCTTGACCTCCCGCTCGCTCGTTCTCGTTGCCGGGACGAATTCTGGTGTCTTCTTGCAAAAATTAGGCAGGATTACCTCCTGACTTCCGAAGCGAAGTGGGGAGAAAGGAGAGCAGCCGGTGGCTGGCAGCGCAGTCAGGTGGAAGTAGGCGAAGCATATACTCTGGGTCTGTGTGGGAGACCCGGGGGAATAGAGAGGAAACCCATGCGCTGGAGAAGGACTCCGGGAATGGGCCTCTCCGATGTGCTGCATGTGGGGACGCTAGACAGATAACTGGGAGAAAGTGTGCCACCCTGCCCCCCACCCCCATTCCCCGGTGTTGTGTTGTCTTTCTGCCGTTTTGGTAAAACATCAGCAAGTGCAGATGCAAGTATTGGGAGAGAAAAGAACTCTGTGTACTAGGGAAATGCTAACCATGAGTGTTTAAGGTGAGCATCCAACACTTCTCAAAATGAGTATCCAGAAAATGAAGTCAGCTACAATGATAACCAAATGATATTTCTACCCGGAAGACTGTAGTTTCTTACAATTCCTTGAGGGTATTGTAGGTGTAGACTCATTTTTAAAAAAATCCATGTCCTGTGTCACTTTCTCCAGCCAGCCCCAGTTTGTAAGAACACTCCATGTGGGGTGGGTGCTGTGAATGATGATGAATCAGGGGAGTCCCTTAAGCGCTACCACTGGGATCTCACAGAAGTCTCTCTAACCCTTTGCAGGGCAGACTGATAATTCTTGTATCTGAGAGTGGACCAAGTTTTGGGTGACATGGCGCAGGGGAATAATTATGGGCAGACCAGCAACGGGGTGGCCGATGAATCACCCAACATGCTGGTGTACAGAAAGGTAAGCGTGTCTTCATGTCTTCAGTTTCTTGGAAAACAGGAAACTTCTGGCTTTCTCGATTTTTTCCCTCTAGATCAGAATATGTGTCAACTTTGTGGCCTTGTGGATTCCCCAAATCATCAGTGATTACGTACTATATACGTGAAAGTGATCTGATATTCTCAAGTGATGCATACGTGGAGAAACACAGTGAAGTAAATGAGGCCTCACATGTTCCCTGCTGGTTTTGCATAGATTATTCTGTCATGAGCAATAACAGCAAGTTTGGGCATTCCGGATATTTTGGTTGTTACACACATGATTTAATAGCATCCATAATAATTTTAGAAGCTTTTTCTTATACTCCCCTCTAAACATTTAGGTTATAATAATTACATAAGCGAATCACATTTCAGAAATAAAAATAGACCACTTTGCAGTTCTGTGGCAAGAGAGAATGTGTCTGTGTAAATGTATGTGGTTTAATAATTTTCCTCTTGACTAAACAATTCTAGTCTTTTTTGTCTTAGCCTAAATTATTTTTTACTTTCTGGTATTTTTATGATTTGAGGTATTTACGGGTATTTATATTCTAGTACCATATGTAAATCATTAAATAATATTTATCTTCCAGAGTTTTTTTTTTTTTTTTTTTTTTTGGCCACAAATAGATTTGACAGCTTTATAGATTCTATAGCAATGCTATTGGCAACAAACTTTTAGACACTGAGCAACCATAATAAAGATGCATTTGAATATTTTGTGTGCTTTCGAGTGGTTGCGTAGGCTATCATCAACAATCTTACTAAAATTAGGGATGCAGCATTCTTCTGCACCAATCATTTTTATTGCATTGTATAGATGATTTTTTAAAGTATATTATCTGGAGTGCTTATTGGGCAAGGTTTCTTTAGTCACCACTAACAGTGGTAAAAAAGGAAGTCGTGCTTTGAAACACCCCAAAATTGTTACAGGTTTTAATTAGAGAGAGCCCATTGAAGAGTTCAGGATGCTTGCATTTATTTATTTTTCAGCAAGAGGATCAGAGCTGTTTATGAATAAAGATTAAAGACTATGTGCTACTTTAACCTGCACTAAATCAAAACTTTTCATCCATGTAGCCATCCATAGGAATATTGCTGTGGCTTTAATGGGAAGATGCATGGGCATCCCGGCACAATGCTAACTGTTTCATTCTTTAGCCTTGGTGAACAGTACTACATTGTGTACCTATGAATACATTTATATGAGCCTGAGAGAAAACAGTATGATAGGAAAGATAACTCAGGACTCAGTTGTCTGTATTAGTCTTAAAGCATTCCAACTGCATAAGTCAGGAAAATAATCCCATTGCATTTAAATTATTAGCATTGTATTTTAAGTTGATTGAAATGACTGGATACTTGTCTATTCTATTTAGAGTTGGTTTTGGAAAGAAATATTTTGGGGGCAGTTGGGTGGTTTTAAAGAAGTCATATTTTGTATTGTTTGGTAAGACTGAATATTGTAATATGCAAGCTGTGAGAATTTTGAATTCTATTTTATGGGTGTCTGCGATGTGAAGAGTTAGTATTTTGGTTGGAAGATTATAGTAGTAAGCTATTTCTGTTTGGCTAAACAATTGTATTCCCTCTCTGTTTCCCTTTAAAAAATTAAGGACTGAGTGCATCGGACACCTAGTAGTTGTCTTCATTAGAAATGAGCTAAATATGCAGCAACTAGTGTGTGTCATTCAGTCAGTTATTTTGAGAACGAATAAAATAAGAAGACAGGGATTTTAGAAATATTATTTGACTGTTTAGTGTATCTGAGCCTCTATTGCCAATTTTGAGTTTATACAGTGTTGTATAGCATCAAATCGCCATTAATTCTACTTTTAAGTTATCAGACTGTAATGATTTCAGGAAGAGAGTGCACTACCTCATTTTTTAAAGCGTTATTATTTTGTCAGTTCAGCTTGGAACTGCATGTGCTACTCATTTTTCCCTTCCTTTCTTAGCTGTTTGCTTAGGGTTAGTGATCACATATAATTTACTTTTCAAAGAAAGATTTTCCTGATAAATTATTATTGGAAAAAATAACTCCTTTCAGTAAATTTTACTCTTAATGCTTACCTGTGGATTGTCTGTCTATTCTTGTATTCTCTGATCATATTTTTTTTGTTCTTCTTTGTGGTAGAAATAACAATATGTAAATATCAGAGAATGTATAAAGAGACACAGAGTTCTTGTTTGTTATTTGCTAGTTATCAGGTCAAATGGCCTATGTCTGTGCATAGACATAGATTGTGACATCACAAATTTTATGTGTCTGTTATGCTTCTATTTTTTGTATATGGGCTTTCCATTCAGTCTCTTCTCAGTAGAGCCAACTTTTAATGTGAAGAACAACAAAATAATTGGAGAGGGGTGTTGGTTGAATATGTGTGTTAGGATATTTCAACTGCTCCACCTTCACAAAAGAATAAACACCAGATTGTAATGCTTATTAATCAGGAAGTCCATCAAAGACTTAGAAAAGGACTTCATCTCCAATAGGACATTGCTTAGTAACAGTGGAGAGAAAGGATAGGGAAATTGCTGTTCTAGCGACTCATGCTCGTTTTCCCCTTCTGCCTCACTGTTGAAGCATACCTCTTGACAGTGTGTTCTGAACTGGCAGCATTCATGGTGTTTCCCTCCCCGTGACACCTCCTGTTTACTTATTGCTTATGACTCTGATGATGTGCACACACTCAAGATATGCATGTGCTGTTTCCATTTTATCTTCGTAGGCTGTTGGTTTCCAAAGTGGAATACAGAGGAAAGCTGGGATGTGTGAATTTCTTGTGTGTGTTTGATGTCTCTCTCATTATCCTCATACAAATTATAGGAATTTTTCCAAATCTCAGAAAAATTCTTGGGATCTTTTTTTCCATGGAGAAGTCTATAGGGATCTTATGGAAAAAAATGTACAGGATAAAACTCTGATTGTTAAGGTAGAGTGGATGTCACCATATTGAAGGGCACAGGTGACAGTAATGCTGCTTCATGATCCAGATTAGGGTTGCTGCTTGCAAGTCAGTTTCAGATGTTGGCCAGTAGCTTTTTGGCATAATACAGGGCGTCTCGGTAGAGTTCGTTTGATGCCAGAGACACATTTTAAAAATACGTACGGGCGAAGTATTTGCCTTATCAATTCTTCTATTGAGAATGCTGTCTTTTTCATAAGCAGGTGATTAAATTACAATGGTTATGTTGTTTTATGTACTTGATGACATCTTATTTAAAAGCACATAAAATTATGAGACTTGACTGCTTTTATTCCTGGCACTTTTTAGGCCTCCTTCAGGCAGGACCTTAACTGGATTAGAACTAGAAGTAATCAACTTCCTTAAGAAGAGACCTGACTAGCTCCAACAAGTGTTGGATTCAGATCAGCTTTTTGAAGAATCTGTAGAGGTGACAAGTCAGAACTCAATGTTATTTGGTGTTGATGGATCTTAAACACTACCCCCTCTTTTGGATGGCTTTGGACAAAACTCTCATTTGTGGGAACGGCAGTGGCCGTAAAGAACAACTGAGTACAGGGAGAGACATTCCAGATTTGGTGTCTGGCCAGCATGCTGTCCACTAGACAGTATACATCACTTTTAGTCCAGCAGTTGACATTCCTGCATTTGAAAAACAAACTCTCTAGGGCACCTTGGGGCCAGTGCTTCAAATTGGCTGGAATGCTGGCTTCTCACTAGCAAGACTCTTCAAAATGTCCAATACTTTCTGATATTATTGCAGCAATCATTTATGCTCAAGCTGTCAGAAAAGAAAATGAAAATGTTTTTCCTCATTCATTATCTTACTGCAGTAAACATGGCTTTGGAAATAGCAAACTTATCAAGTTCACTGTTCCTCCCCCTCCTCTTTCCCCTTGTCTTTCTCCTACTCCTGTTCTCTCCTCCATTCTACTCTCCTGTCTCTTCATCCTTATATAGTTGCTTGCTTTGCATTTGTTTGCTTTTAGCTTTTCTTTTCAGACTTAAGGTTGAAGACATAATTTACACTGTTTATTTATTGTAAAGGAGAAAGCAATGTCTTTGGGAGAAGAGAATAGATGCCAACCTTGTTACCGGTGAAGCTCAGGACTTGGATAAATCTTTCAAATATGGTATCATGTGGTGGTACTGGCAACAGGTTATTATTTTAGGGTTAAGATTGTTCCATTCTGTTTTTTTTTTTTTTTTTAAAGTCAGGGTCTTGCGGTGTTGACCAGGCTGGAGTGCAGTGGTGCAATCATAGCTCACTGTAACCTTGAACTCCCGGGCTCAAGCTATCCTCCCACCTCAGCCTCCCGGGTACCTGAGACTACAGGTGGGTGCCACGATGCCGGCCTAATTTTTTTTTTGTTTTTTCTTGTAGAGATGGGGTCTCACTATGTTGCCCAGGCTGGTCTTGAACTCCTGGGCTCAAGCAATCCTCCCGCCTCAGCCTCCCAAACCGCTGAGATTACAGTTAAGAGTCATAGCGCCCAGCTATGACTGTTCCATTCTTGAAGAGCAAGATGAGACCATTGGCTTTTCTTATATAAAGTCACAATGAGAGCTGTCAGCCAACCAGGAAGAGTATTTATGCTGATTGACTTGACCTAAACATTGTCTTTGAAAGCTGCTTCTAAAGTCAGTCTGCTCTGTGAGAGGAGACATACCTACCAGAAAGAGGAGTGGCTTGATCTCTTCTTTGGAAGAGCCTGGGCCACAGGCATTACTAGTCTCTTAGTGGTGAGCTGGCTGACATTTTCTGTATTAACTCAACTCAGTGGATTTGTTAGTACAGGATTGCCCATCTGGTCAACCTTGAGGGTGTTGATATTTCTCGCTTAAATCCCCATTGTGAAAAATAATATTTGACTTTCCTTTTTTTTTTGAGATGGGGTCTCATTATGTTGCCCAGGCTGGTCTTAAACTCTTGGGCTCAGGTGATCCTCCCACTTCAGCCTTCTGAGTAGCTGGCATTGTAGGCGTGTGCCACCGTGCCTAGTTGATCTTT